CTTTCTGTTTGGATAGGAGCCCCTCTACCCTCAATGCCTGGAGTGAAACCTGTGACCCCTGCCCCTCTCTATCCATCCTTCTGGAGGTCACCGTGGCTTCTGTAAGTGCTTGGTCAGGGGTAGGATTTGCTCAAGTCATCTCTGGCCCGTTCTTGCTAATCTGATGGTGTGGAAACCTCCTTAAAGGGGCTGAGCATATATTCATTTTCTCATCATCTGGGCACCTGTGACTTTTGGGCTTCATTTGAATCACCTGTGATTGCTGCAGCCTGTGGACCTACTCAAGGATTACTAGTTGCTTTTAGGGGGAAATCCTGTGATTATTCTGAGCTTGGTCAGTTGACTCGCTCACTTTTGTGACTCCGCCTCCTCCCCTCACCCCACATGACATCTGGCTCCTGGGCTGGGATAGGTGCGCTATTTTTGGTGCTGCCTATACTTCTTTCTACCTCTGCGTTTAGCTCACTGGTCACGGTTTCTTTTCGTGTCTCCTTTTCTCTGAGGATAGGGAACTGTGATTTTTAGCTTTTCATCACTAGTGCTTGGCACAAAGTAGGCACTAAATAAATGTTTATTAAACAGATGAACAAAAGAATAAATGGAGTGAATTCTAGATCTGGAATGAAAACTTGGTTTATTAACACATTCAATTTGGAGAGTGCCAGCTGTGTTTTTGATAGAAATTTGTAATCTGTGGCAGCTCAGCTCAAGAAAACCAGGTTTTCCACAAACTGATTGAAGTGGGAACTAGACTTTGAGTTGAGTCAATTTTAGTCTAGTTTTCAAACTCAGCCATCAAGCACCAATAGAACAGCGGAGGGACACTGAGAATTTTGCTCCCTGGCCTTGTATATCCCTGGTAGAGATTTCGTGTCATTCATTCATTCATTTGACATTCGTCAGGTGCTAATATGTTTTCATGTAAACAAGAAAACCAGAGGCTGATTACTTTTCCAGAGTGTTGTCACTTTGCTTAATAATTTGACACAGAAGAAGCCTCTGTGTTATCGGGAAAATGACTTGATAGGGCATCATCTCAGAAGAGCCTGGATGGATGTTACACTGTCGCTTTCATTTCCCATTACTATGGAGCAAGCATACAAAAAGTGGAGGCGAACAGAGTTGTTGTTTCCCTCCTAGACTCCTCTGTGCATTATTCAGTATTGGGTCACCACAAGGTGTGACAGAGAAACTTCTATGGGTCTCTTCCTGGCTCTGGACACGTATAAGCCTTTTTATCATCTGCTTTTGATTTTTCAGATTGGCTCAAACCAAGGTATTCCTAATTCCTGGATTTCACTCTGTGTCATGGAGGAAAAACTGACACAGAGCACTCCCTCCAAGGAAACATAATTTAAGGAAGATCCACTAGCTTGTTGGTTATCTTTTCATTATAGGTTGTCTCAGGCCAACTTTAGTGAGGGGATTTAGGCTTTGTGAAAGTGATGCTTTTTGGAAACAATTTTACTCCTCATTTCATATTATTTGCTTATTACCTCAACTATATTCACCTATTTTAAAAGTACTTTCTTTTTCTATATTGGCTATATGCTTAAAAGATTCCTTACATTGTTTCTGGAATGAGTTGGAGCCTAAACAAAATCCATGACATTTGTTGTCTTCCAGGAAAAGGAGACAACAGAATCATCAGGACAAATTATTTGAAGTAAAATCTTTTTTTAAATTACCCTTTGTGTATTTTCTAACATAGTTGGGAAAAAAATGCATTTCTATGTTTTTAAAAAATTATTATTAAAGTATATTTGCTTCTCGATGTGATTGGCATCCCAAACGTTACCACTTTTATTTAGATACATCTATTAAAACAACTTAGACTCTAATAAAAGCTTTTGCTTTATTTATTCATTCACTCATTTTTAATAAACTGGTAGTAAATTTACCAGTAAAAACGGAAATACCAACATTTCCATGAGAGATTTGTTTCCAGCTTACTAACAAATACGGTGCATTTACTTAGCTTATTTTGTAGCTCTCTAATTTAGTTTAATTTTCTACAGCTTTCTTTGGGGAGTAGAAATTCAGTTTTCTTCCTATGTTTCAAAATTATTATCGGCAATGACTAATTACCCTCTTCCCCTGCTTGAAAGGTTTTTTGTTGTTTTTTCCAAAACCATAACCATACACAAATATAGGAAAAGGACTGGAAAGAAGGCACAATATTAGAAATGGCTGTCTCCATCTGTGAAATTACGAGTGCTTTTAAAATCATTATACTACAGTGGTGATCACTTTGTAATGCAGAGAAATACCGAATCGTAGATAGTGCACCTGGAACTAACAGTGTTGCAGGTCAGTTATACTTAAATAAAATAAAATCTTTATACTTTACATAGTTGACCCTTGACAACAGGGGTTTGAGCTGTGCACATCCGCCTGTACTAGGATTTTTTTTCAACCATAGTACCACAGGGTACGCGATCCCCAGCGTGTTGAATCCGCAGATGCGGAACTGCGGATACAGAGGAACCGTGGCTACGGAGGAATGGCGGATGCCCAGGAACTGCAGGTAGGAACGGACGACTCTAAATGATTTGCAGGGGGGTTTGTTTGTTTTTAGTGTGCGGAGGATGTTGTTCAAGGGGCAACTGCGCTTTTCTGTAATCTTCCAGCATTTCTACAATGAGTTGGTATGGCTTTTGTTAGCAGGAAAAGTGTTTCCTGCTCGTGCACCACTGGAGCTGCGCGCAGGCCCACATGCTGGACGTGCCTTTTACGTCTCAACCCCGCAGGGCTTTGCCGGCTCACTTTGCTGCCAGCTTCACCTGGAACAAAAGGTTTTCATTTCTTTACTCATCAGTTACTGTGAAGTGCAGACATGTGCCTTCTCTGAGGTGACCATTTTATCTGTCCAAAAGTGTATACATAACATTTAAAATATGCATAAACAAATGAAAGTCGTGTTGCTGAGATGAGGAATCAGAGACGAGGATTTGTAGTACTACTCTAGGCTCTAAGTACATCAGTAACTTCTTCAACATTTTCATCAGGAAAAACCTACACATTTAACGTTTTCTTCTCTGTCAATTTATGCAGTATTGCTATATGACAGCTTTATAGCTTGAAGAGTTCAATTTTTTTGAAGCAGTTTTTGGG